GGTGCAGGGTGCTGGGTGGGGGAGGAGGGGCGGGGGATCGTTCCTGCTGGCGCGAGCTGGGACTGGCTCTCAAAGCACTTTCCCTTCCCAGCACTTATCAGTTTGTAATTGCAGATTTTTGTACTCGATTGGTTTTGCCTGGGAGGATCCTTGTCGGTCTTGCCAGAGTCCCAGGAGGATGGGGATTAGGACTTTGTTGCTCTCTGTTGTGTCTGCTGTGCATAGCAGTGTGCAGCTGACAACAAGCATTTGATAAATATTTGAAGGAAAATGAGACGTATAGGTATAGGCCCACTATCAGGGTGTTAAAGGCCCCCTGCGGAAGTGTGCTTAAAATCTTGGAGGTATCCTCCCTTTATGAAACTCCCCCATCTTCCCCATGGCCTAATTGATAACAATTCCCCTGTTCTTGTCTTCACATAGGGGACTTCAGCTACCAACTCATGAGGCTTCCTGCCCATCCTGACTTTTTTTTTTTTTAGGTAGTCAACCTTTTCCCTCCTCCAAAGGCAGCCTTGTTTGGAATTCTAATCCAGAATGAATTGAAAATGGAGTTGATCGCAGTGGAATGGGAGTATGGGGTGGAACTGTCACAGGCCTCCCCCACTTTGTGAGCCCCTAAGGCCTCTCCAATGGTCCCCAGAGATTTCTGGTTTGACAAGCCCATGTTGCACCTGGGTGGCTCAGTCGGTTAAGCGTCTGACTTCGGCTCAGGTCATGATCTCACGGTCCGTGAGTTCGAGCCCTGCATCGGGCTCTGGGCTGACAGCTCAGAGCCTGGAGCCTGTTTCGGATTCTGTGTCTCCCTCTCTCTCTGACCCTCCCCCGTTCATGCTCTGTCTCTCTCTGTCTCAAAAATAAATAAACATTAAAAAAAAAAAATAGAAAAGCCCACGCTGGGGGTCCTAGAGGATCCTCCCCAGCTGGAGACATGGGCCTTTGAGACTCAGATTCAATGGAACCTGGGCCTTTAGACCTTGACTCAGACTCAAACGTTGGGTCCACACTCAGACCCCAACAGGGCAGCCTGCCCAGAATGCAGGGTCCAGCTCTTGGGAGAAATGTCTCGATCTCCTTGTATTCACCTTGTAAAAAGACAGCTCAGTTCCACAAGACGGGGAGTCAGTACAAAACACAGCACAACCACGTAAGAAAAATAACTTTCTTATTAAGCATATATAATCTTATCAAAAGTACTTCATAGTATCGCATCCGTAACCGTTCCAATACTAGCTCAGCTGTTATATAGACCTGTTATAAATAATGAACATGGCTACTGAAGTACAGGAGTAATCACTAGGAAATAAAAAACCATCGTGACACATTAAATCCCCAGGGCACATGCTTCAGGATCTAATAATGTTCAAGTCTCAGGGGGATGCGTGAAAGGGTCTTTCCTTCTTCTTTGATTTCCCTAAAGCGGTAATATTTTTTGAAGGAGCAGATGAAGTCCAAGATTTTATGCTTTAGCAATCAGTCATGGTTTTTTTTTTTTTTT